TGTATGCGTGCTACTTTAGTTTAACCACTCTATCCAGCTTGTGTCACACATAAACAAATTGAAAAAATGACAACAAAAATAAATATGTAAAACAATGATACAGAAAGAAGTGTGTATTTTTTATAACTGTGTGTAACACTATATACATAGTGTCAATCTAGAACTGACAAAAGAACAGATAAATATATAGATGAATGCATAAATGTGCGAACATAAAAATATTGTTATCCTTGAATCCCTGACTACAAAAGTGAACTGTAACCGGTAGATAAGTGTTGTTTTGTGGTAGATAAATATTATACAATAAATCAACACAGTTTCAAAACGTAATTAATAAATATTAACATGACAAACAATGCAACAATAAACCAACACAGATCAAAGGCATGACGAATAAATATTAACATGACAAACAATGCAACAATAAACCAACACAGATCAAAGGCATGACGAATAAATATTAACATGACAAACAATGCAACAATAAACCAATACAGTTTAAAGGCGTGACTAATAAATATTAACACGATAAAAAATTTTAACAATAAACCTGCACGGTTATAAGCTAAGACTTAAGTTCATAATCACCTGAAACTTTACTGTGTCTTTACACATAACTGTGTTTAACTTATAAAACTCTATAAACTACATTTTTTTAAATTAAGAAGTTTCAATGACATGTGTGTTATTAGGGTTAAAGCAAGCAGAATACTAGATAAAAATATCTAAAGACCATTTTCTTATGGCTTTGCATCAAAACAGCTTCTGATATCTTTCTTTCCCAGTCATCATGTAAACACTTTACAAATCACACCCAAAACAACGCAACCAAATTAAGCCCTATCGAAAGCTATTTCATATATAAAGGAAATTACAGTTTGATAGTCATCACACCTGGCTAAAAATAAAGTATATCAGAACTTTAAACTCATGCAGTTCAACGCCATTATTCATTTCCTCCTCAGCACGCTCTGAAATGCGAGTAATTTTTCAACCTCATTTTACCATTAGTAAGGTTAATGAAATATTTTCAAATAACACCTGTCTATTTAAATTAAGTGTTTTTCTTGGAGTACTGTGCCCGGCATGGCCAGGTGGTTAGGGCACTCGACTCACAATCTGAGGGTCGCGGGTTCGAATCCGCATACCACCAAACATGCTCGCCCTTTCAGCCGTAGGGGCGTTATAATGTGACGGTTAATCCCACTATTCGTTGGTAAAAGAGTAGCCCAAGTATTGGCGGTGGGTGGTGATGACTAGCTGCCTTCCCTCTGGTCTTACACTGCTAAATTAGGGACGGCTAGCGCAGATAGCCCTCGTGTAGCTTTGCGCGAAATTCCAAACAAAAACAAACTCTATGAATATTATTTTCTTAACCTTCTGTTATTTTCAATAGTCTGTGTTTGTATTTTTTGTTAATGTCTTGTTATTTTCGACTCTCTATGAATATTATTTCCTTAACCTTTGTGACATTTGGCTGATATATTGGACCAAGACAAGTTACTAACGTTCAGCAGTAAGGACATAAAGCATGTTCGGATTTTGGCAGGAAATACATAAAGAGATTAGACGTAAATCGTTCAGAAGAAAAAAACACTGGAAACTTTCATAAGAGAGAGAGAAGGGGGGGGGTCTCTTTTTGAAAAATACTATTTTCTTGGAAAGTAGCACCATCTGTCGGTGTGTGAAATGTACATTTTTTTTTCCTGCAAACAATCCGTTCATATGTTGGTGTATACATTAAATATAAATGGTTGGACTTTCGACGTTTTCGTCAAATTTTACGAAGCTCAAGTACGTTGACGTATTTGTAAGATATTTTTGTTGAACTTCAAGTGTTTCCAATAGACTTCATTATATTACGATTCGTTGATTGTATATGTAAAACAAATGATGTTACGTTTCTGCGATCAATATATTGTTACTCAGCGTTGGGTAACCCTTGCAACGCTTGTGTTGCTTTTTCGAGTTTCGGTGTGAATTTAACGTTTGCGTCGTCTGTTAAAAATCGGGTGTAAGTGTACTTGTTTGTGTTGTCTCTTGGTGTTATGGTGTGAATATGACGTTTGCGTTATTTATTGGAGTTCTGGTGTAAATATAACATCTGCGTTTTCTGTTGGAGTACAGACCAACGGTATATGAAAGACTAGTTCATTGCTGTATTCGTTAAACATGTATTTGATAGCTGAGTATTGTTGTATTTGCTGTTAGATTGTTGAGTATTGTTTATTTGCTGTTAGATTGTTGAGTATTGTTGTGTTTGCTGTTAGATTGTTGAGTATTGTTGTATTTGCTGTTAGATTGTTGAGTATTGTTGTATTTGCTATTAGATTGTTGAGTATTGTTGTATTTGCTGTTAGATTGCTGAATATTATTGTATTTGTTGTTAGATTGCTGAATATTATTGTATTTGCTGTTAAATTGCTGAATATTATTGTATTTGCTGTTAGATAGCTGAGTATTGTATTTGCTGTTAGATAGCTGAGTATTGTATTTGATGTTAGATTGTTGAGTATTGTTGTATTTGCTGTTAGATTGTTGAGTATTGTTGTATTTGCTGTTAGATTGTTGAGTATTGTTGTATTTGCTGTTAGATTGCTGAATATTATTTTATTTGCTGTTAGATTGCTGAATATTATTGTATTTGCTGTTAGATTGTTGAGTATTGTTGTATTTGCTGTTAGATTGTTGAGTATTGTTGCAAATCTTACTTTGCCTATTCTGGAGTCCTCTGGATCTGGTATTTGAAATACACACACTTATCCTGAATTGTTTGTTTAATACGGTAATAAACTGTCAAGAATCTGGTATTTGAAATACACACTCTTGTCCTGAATTGTTTGTTTGATATAGTAATAAACTGTCAAGAATCTGGTATTTGAAATACACACACTTGTCCCGAATTGTTTGTTTGATATAGTAATAAACTGTCAAGAATCTGGTATTTGAAATACACACACTTGTCCCGAATTGTTTGTTTGATATAGTAATAAACTGTCAAGAATCTGGTATTTGAAATACACACACTTGTCCTGAATTGTTTGTTTGATATAGTAATAAACTGTCAAGAATCTGGTATTTGAAATACACACATTTGTCCTGAATTGTTTGTTTAATACAGTAAGTAGCACACTACTGAATTTATATATGAAATGAACCAACCGCAGGTAATGAGAAATGTACGTATAGCTTGTGAGAACTATGGAAGTAAAACCACAAAGCCAAGAAATGTAGCTTACTGAAGTTTGTAGCAAGTGTTACTAATTTCATGTGGTGCCTGTTGTAACTCTGTGACATGGTGTGAGGCACCGATAACATTTTAACACTATAATGATGGGAAAGTTACCATATGGAATACAAATATTTGTACCAGTTGTAATTAGTCTTACCAGGTATACGATGGGGCAGAAACCTTGGATGTCGGGAAGCCAGAAGCCACGGATATAGGGAATAAGGGTCCCGGTGCAGGAGGAAAGGAGATACGGCTTGCAAGGAAGGCTGGTTCGGCGAGCATAGATATGGCGACGAAGTTTCGTCTGTGGCACTGTACATAACCGACGGTCTCACGCCGCCGTAGCCGGGAAAAGTAGGAACAGATTCCAGACAAGTGGGACCAGCTCTAGCGACGGAGCATACGGGCCTAACGGGCAAAGTCCGATACAGCAGGCCGCGAGAAAAAGTGTCCGATAACGCTGGATCTCTTGTCCAGCCGCCAGGTGATGGCGAATCTTCACGTGCCGGCCCTGGAGATAAATTCTCTACATCAACAGAGGAGTAACTGTCCGTGCTTTCTTCAGGCTGAGGTGAACCTCTGTGGCCATCTTTTCCAACCAGTGATTCAATAGAGAAACGGAGTTTTGGCTTAAGAGGCACCACAGGCGCCATGGAGACCAGAGCCGCACACATCCAAAGTATCCAATAAGGTAAAAAGAGATCTCCAATTAAGACGAAATTGAACTTATACAAAATAGCTATTGAGTAAAGCTTTCATTTCGGCGCAGCTTAAAATTAGATTAGGCACTCTCTTTACACGTTTTAAACAACACAATCCACAGAAGATAACATTAGAAGTCATTTAATGATGTGCCACATATGTTCTTTAGTACCAACGTTTAAACGCTTATTTATGACGCAGAACGAAGAAGATCCGCGAACAGGCCAGTTTACTATCTCAGTGATAACCAACAAACTCGTGTTCGGACACCTTGCAGCTGCAAGATGCGGGCCAGACAGGTTTGAAATACACTAGCGCCATCTCGTGTCACATTCTTCACGTCACGCTTGAACTGCAGGTAATGTCAAATGTGATTAGCATCTGTGGTGTTTTAAAACAAAGAATTAAGCTACGGACTTGACGTTTCTAAGCTTGATATTTGATGACACTGTGGATTTGCGCGAGATGATCCATGATCGCCATTTCGAACGAAGGAGCCCGTGGGTGGCTTAGTGAAGTTTCATGTAAGGAACTGTACGGTAAGTATGCAAGACGAATCTAAATAATATACTGAGGTGTAACATGATGGCCAATATTGAAGTATACTGAAAGGTTATATTCTGATATGTATTGGTTAACATGTAGGTGGTCCTATGGATAAAATATCAAGAAACTCTACATACAGTATGTTTAGTTGCTTCGTCTGTATTTGACACTACTGATAGTGAGTATGTTCAGTTACTTCGTCTGTATTAGACACTCTACTGATAGTGAATATGTTCAGTTACTTCGTCTGTATTTGACACTACTGACAGTTAGAGTGTCTAATACAGACGAAGTAACTGAACATACTCACTATCAGTAGAGTGTCTAATACAGACAGAGTAACTGAACATACTCACTGTCAGTAGAGTGTCTAATACAGACGTAGTAACTGAACATACTCACTATCAGTAGAGTGTCTAATACAGACGTAGTAACTGAACATACTCACTATCAGTAGAGTGTCTAATACAGACAGAGTAACTGAACATACTCACTGTCAGTAGTGTCTAATACAGACGAAGTAACTGAACATACTTCAAATACAGACGGAGTAACTGAACATACTTACTGTCAGTAGTGTCAAATACAGACGGAGTAACTGAACATACTGTCAATCGTGTCAAATACAGACGGAGTAACTGAACATACTTACTGTCAATAGTGTCAAATACAGACGGAGTAACTAAACATACTTACTGTCAGTAGTGTCAAATACAGACGGAGTAACTGAACATACTGTCAATCGTGTCAAATACAGACGGAGTAACTGAACATACTTACTGTCAATAGTGTCGAATACAGACGGAGTAAGTGAACATACTTACTGTCAGTAGTGTCAAATACAGACGGAGTAACTGAACATACTTACTGTCAGAAGTGTCAAATACAGATGGAGTAAGTGAACATACTCACTATCAGTAGAGTGTCAAATACAGACGAAGTAACTGAACATACTTACTGTCGGTAGTGTCAAATACAAATGTAGTAACTGAACATACTTACTGTCAGTAGTGTGTCAAATACGGACGGAGTAACTGAACATACTTACTGTCAGTAGTGTCAAATACAGACGTAGTAACTGAACATACTCACTATCAAACACTACTGACAGTAAGTATGTTCAGTTACTCCGTCTGTATTAGACCCTATTGACAGTGAGTATGCTCAGTTACTACATCTGTATTTGACACTACCGACAGTAAGTATGTTCAGTTACTTCGTCTGTATTTGACACTCTACTGATAGTGAGTATGTTCAGTTACTCCGTCTGTATTTGACACTACTGACAGTAAGTATGTTCAGTTACTACGTCTGTATTTGACACTACTGACAGTAAGTATGTTTAGTTACTCCGTCTGTATTAGACACTCTACTGACAGTAAGTATGTTCAGTTACTTCGTCTGTATTAGACACTCTATTGATAGTGAGTATGTTCAGTTACTCCGTCTTTATTTGACACTACCGACAGTAAGTATGTTCAGTTACTCCGTCTGTATTTGACACTACTGACAGTAAGTATGTTCAGTTACTCCGACTGTATTTTAAGTTCTACACACAATGATTGTTTACAACCTTTACTATTACTTTCATTGCTATTGTTCGAATACATCTTTTTCGACACTAACTCACTCATGTAAACAAAACTGTGTTAATGTTTAGCAATAGCCTTGAAAATGTGTAAATACCTTAGCTTGCACAATAATATAAAACTATACTATTAGTTTCTACCGAATTCAATCCATGCTTCAACCAAAGTCTTCAAATATATCATTAAAAAAAGTGTTTTGAACGTTACTGGATTTGAATAAATGACCTGTTATGATTCAAAATATAATCAATGCCATTAAAAAAAAAGAAAGTGACGTCATGAAGTCTTGTTCGGAATTCACAGCGCTTCTGTAAATGAGATAATGAACATTTGAACACTTTCTCGACTCGTATTCATCATTAAATGTGTGGCTTGTTTTTATCCCGATCATAACCCGTGAGATCCGCATATATTGAATAATTATATAAACATGTTTGTTTATCGCAACAAGAAAATACTCCCCCCCCCAAAAAAAATGGCTTAAACCACTCATTTTATGTACGAATAAATAGTTTAGAAAAATGTGTTTAGAACACACGTAAATCATCGGCATGTTTCAGATATTCCTGCCAAGCTACACAAGAGTTACGAGACCCGTGATTGGCACGATACAAATAGCCCATTCTGTAGCTTTGAGCTTAACAACAAACAAACAATTTACGTTAGCTGTCCCAAAATTTGATTGTTTGTTTGTAATTAAGCACAAAGATACACAATGGGCTATCTGTGCTCTGCCCACCACGGGTATCGAAACCCGGATTCTAGCGTTGTAAGCCAGCAGACATACCGCTGTGCCACTGGGGGGGGGGGAGGAGGTAACATTTGAACTAATAAATAAGACGGAAAGCAACTAGCCGGCACACACCTTTACTTATTAGGTTACTCGACCCCATAGAGTGCAGTACGTTTTGGCAGCGACGAGAAACGAACCATGAACCCTTGGATTCTCATCTCGGGCACGCTAAGCGCTAGGCCGGTGCCGGTTATATTCTTATTGTATTTATTTTTATTTGTACATCGGCTAGATTTGTCACAAATAATTTTTTTCTTGATTTGTTTTTCCCCTTTTATTTTTACATCGTTTATTAACACCTGAATACTGATACGTACTGGAATCAGTTCTGTTCGTACACGTGGCTTTAACTCTAGATTTGTTATTTGAATTTCACTAATCGAGGGTTATCTGCGCTAGCTCTCTCTAATATTGACGTGATACACGAGGGGAAAGGCAGCTAGTCAATTTCACCCACTGCCAACTCGTGGGCTACTCCCATAACGCGCTCGCGCCCCAAAGCACGGAGCGCGATTTTTGTTTTTGTTTTTCTTGGTACGGTAATGGGTTACGAACTATCAAACTTCCGGTACACAGACCGGCACTTGAACCACTGGGCTGCGCTCTGTCCTCGTATACGGGGGCAGGGGCTGTTTTTTTTGTTTTATATACACGAGTTCTAGGAGAGGCAATGTCTTCAGATTGTATTCGAACGAAAGAACAACTAACAACAAGCTAGTTCGGTCTCAGTTTTTACATTTGTCAATTAGTTGATTGTATTTGTTCCCGAAGTTAGCAACGAATGTTACTTTTGTTCCTTAAACGTAGAGATTTCTTATTAAATCAGATCAACGTGGGACCACAGATTAACCCAGATATAAAAAGGCGTCATCGGAGAATCCATGCCGTGGGATTAGTTCCTAAGCCAACTTATGAAGTCAAAGAAGCTCAGAGTTTGTCTTCAGTATCTTATTATACGGCTCCTCTAGCTTCAAGATTATAATAGCGATTTGGATAAGGCTATAATTGTGACGGGCCTTGTAACCCTTTAAACGATGTTTTCTGTGCACTTCTGTAAATGTCGCCGCAAGACAGTTTGGTTACTTTCTCTGCCCCCTTTCTGTTCTCCTCACGAGCACCATCAAGACCATTGGTAAAGCTTAGTGACAGGGGAAAGACGAGGTGATGGCTCGTTCCTCAAATCCCTTAAAGATCCCGACATGATTAGGACATATGAAGCAGGCCTAAATCCGATGGAACTCTGGAAAGACTCGGCTATGTTTAACGAGATTTGTGGATGGCAGATTCACATTCTTAACCAGCTGCTCTTGACTGAAGCTTAATCTTGAACGACAATAATTCCAACAGTTTACTATGATCTAGGCTTGGCCACCTGGGGGAGAAAACCCGTCGTTTTCCACCAGAACGGCATGTCTTTCGTGGGGGGATCTTCTCCATAAATTCTCTGCAGATTAGGCCACGACATTTGCTCTCTACAATTGACAGTTACAACACATGTGCATTTTATCTATTTATTTAGTCACATTTATAAAATAACTAATCACCTACTTTGTCCGTTTCATCCTGCGATCGTGACCAAATCAATACTATTTTCTTTTATTCACGAATATTATTATTGGGATTGTTTTACCAAATACTCCAGAGCCGACCTCTTCTATTTAACATCTTCCGAGTCTTAGTTTCACGAATATTATTATTGGGATTGTTTTACCAAATACTCCAGAGCCGACCCCTTCTATTTAACATCTTCCGAGTCTTAGTTTCACGAATATTATTATTGGGATTGTTTTACCAAATACTCCAGAGCCGACCCCTTCTATTTAACATCTTCCGAGTCTTAGTTTCCTTTTATTTTGGTCGTTTGGCTTGAATAATGAACGTAACAACTAACACAGCAGACGAAAAACGCATTTTATTAAATCGATAGTGCGTCAGCCACAAGCTTGTGTTTTTCACACTGTATTTGCGACATTTAGACAAGCTCATGGCACTATGGAAAGCACGAAGTTACATTACATTCCTC